AAGGAAGGAAGGAAGGAAGGAAGGAAGGAAGGAAGGAAGGAAGGAAGGAAGGAAGGAAGGAAGGAAGGAAGGAAGGAAAACAAATAAGCATTATTAAACACTATGTGTCAGGCACTATGATAAGTACTTAACAAATATTTCTCATTTAAATCCTTACAACATCCTTGGGAGATAAGGGCTATTGTAATATTCCTATTTTATAGTGAAGAAAACTGAGGCAGACAAAGGTTAAGTGATTTGCCCAGGGTCACATAGCTAGTAAGTGTCAGGCTGGATTTGAACTGAGGACTTCCTGACTTCAAGCCCGGTACTCTGTCCACTGCACCTCCAGTTACTTATAAACTTAAAACCAATATGAAATTTTTGTGTTGAGATCACTGCCTTAGAAATATCTTATTTTATAGTTAAGCCTAAATTTGTGTATTTTTTTATTATTTACATCTTTCTCCTACAAATATAATGGAGGGATAGCCTGTGGGAAGAAAGAAAGAGGAAGAGATCAGTTAACTAAGGGTCGCCTGGAATCTAGTTAAGGTATAACAGGGCAATGGTTATTCCAAACAATTATTATGGACATTAGTTATTCCAAGAAGGTAGAGATATAACTAGAAGAGAGTAACAAAAACTCACTTTCTAACAGAAAAATGTTTTGCGGGACGTTTGCACTTACCCATCCGAATGGCGGCAAGAAGATCGCTACGAGCATCACTGATTGCCGGCTGAGCTGGTTCTTGTCTCTTTGCTTCAGCCCCTGGGGGGCCATGCATGGGGGAGGATGAAAGAGAAGGCCCTGCTACAGGAGGGCCCGGTGGGGGAGGTGGTGGGCCCGGAGGAGGAGGAGCTGTAACAGCAAGCCCAACAGAAGGTGGATGAGGAGTAGCGGTGTATGTGGAACTAGTCGCTAATGGAGGATAGGAAGACGGTGTAGGGATCTGGAGGGGGCTAACGAAAGCAGTTTGTGCTGAAGGAATCATGGGAGGCGGTGGAGGTGGTGGTGGTCCTGATGGGTTGTAATATTCAATTATTTGTGCTGGAAGCATCCTAACAAAAAGAGGAAACACACCATGTCATTAGAATGTCAGAGAAGGTGAAATTTTCTGAGACTCTGAAATCTGTCAGGTTAGCCACTCCTAGCCACATCATATATTGTGGGTCTAATTAGAACTATGTAGTGCAAGCATATACATTTTGTGGCAGTTGTTTCATAGATCCTGCTCAATTCATTACCATGGGACGTCATATCTGCTTAATTCATCTCAGACGTAAAAATGTTTCCAAAGGTAAAAGGAGTATTTGTGGGAGAAAGGAATATCATTTCCCAGCTGATCACAGAATCTAGGAAGGCAGGAAGAACATTATTAATGCATACTCTACCGTAGCCAGTAGCAGGGAAACACATAGTTAATCAAGTCAGGAGTAAAATCATTGTGAAAAACCACAGGACAGAAGTGGGACAATTGAATTTATTGAAAAATAAGTATATTATATAAGGCAGAGATTGCCATACCCATTTCAGCACTGGCTGTAAGGCAACGCTTCAGAAAATATATTTCTACTGAGAGAGGGAAATAATAATAAAAGTGGCATATTTGACCAAATGAAAGGGCATTCAGGAACTATGAAATTCATTTCAAGAAGAGGAAGACGGATATTTGTTTTCTATCTGGATGAGAGAAGAATTAGGGGTCCTGGTGAGAAGACATCATTATACTAGATGATGCTATGCCAAGACGAGTAAGTCAAGGAGAGGGAGCACATGACTAGGCACAGGGACAGTATGGGGTTAGATGAAGCTGTTTTTTGATTTGTGTTAAGTATTTCATTTTGACACTTGTTTTCTACAATGAAATTTGTGGATTAGAGTTAAGTTCTCCAATCATTTCAAAAAGTATTTGCTAAAAGCCTGCCATGCAAAATGTCCTGTGTTAGGCGCTAAGAGGACTATAAAGATAAATGGGACATGTGTCATGCCCTCAAGGAGCTTACAATCTAATAAGATTAAAAAAAATTTTGTTTATTCCTGGTTAGCACATGGGTTTAAAAATGCCTCCTGAAACAATCCATTCAACTTCCCTATAAAATGTAATTGTTGTTTTTAAACATAATGTAACTAAAAAGGCGAATAGTCTACTAGTATGTTACTGGCCCATGTCTTTACCTGTAATTTGGCCCTCATGATGGAATTATTGTGCAGACAAATCAGGTTTTTTCTTACAGGCATCGTAGCCCATGAATTATTAAAAACAAAATCAAAATTCCAACTACATCTACTACACTTTCAAAGAGTCCAGGCACGAGGAAAGTTTACCCATAGTCCGATGGCACCAAAGGTGCAGAGGCCTGGGAGCCCTCCGAGGCCTGTGGTGGGGGTGGCGGTGGCTGCTGAGGTCTGTTCAAGGTCATGTGCCTGACCGTGGCAGAAGGAGGTCTGTTATACTCGTGCTCCAGGGCTTGATTTGTAGCCCCATACTGCTGTGCGTCCCCTGCTACGTAAGAAGGAGTCACTGGCTGCTGATGAAGAGAATGATTTGGAGTAGCAGGATAAGAATAATCAGTCACATCAGATGCATGGGACCTAGAATTAAGGGAGAAGAAATGGGAAGGAATACAATGACTTTCAGGTTTTTTTCTTCTAATATACATAAAACATCTGCTTTTCTGTTATCAATTCATAAGTTATAAATTCCCTATTCCCTTTCCTATATTGTCATGAAAACTACAGAGCAAAAACTGGATTACTATCTTAGCCAGAAAATGCAAGTGTTGTTTGAAATTAAATTCACAGCTTCAAAATGAGTGTATCAGATGAACTGACATGCAGTAAATACCAATACCTTATTTTTTCAATACTCGAGGAATCTTTTACTCAGTCATAGAATAGTATAGAACAAATCAAATTAACAAACAGTATTTAAGACAAGACATAGCATTCTAGTGCAATGAAATATTGACAGCATATAAGTAGAAATTATATAACAGTAGGTGAATTGGATAAACATTAACATTAAGAGAAGTAAAAGAAATTAAGAATGCAATGCAGTGAATATTTTTTTGCTTAAACAGAGGAAATATATTTAATCAAAGCAGAGTATAGTGATTTAATAAGTTTAATATTTAAAAGCCTTGTTTTCTTTGCATAAACAGCTGAGTGTAACAAGCTGAAAGGAATGCAAATATTTTATTAGTTGAGCATAGAGTTCACAAAGATGCAGAGACTGTTGTAGTCCAGGGTCAGCTAAGCCCAAGGGAAGGGAATGAGTAAAAGGACCTGTTTGTCCCACAGCTGCGGAGAACCAGGTGGCATTAGTAAGAGACAATCGTGCAGTTCTGGCACTCTGTTAAAGGACACATTGAGTCAGTAAATTGAATGCGTATCATTGCAGGAAGACTGAAGCAGGGCAGGCAACAAAAAGCCAGGGCTCTGAATAAAACAAAAAAGACCAACCCTCTGGGCATTCTGTCCTCTTTCATGCTCCCTGCCTGTTCCAGTTTCTTGGCGTCACTCATGAACTCAATACCCATTTTCCTTCGCTCCCACTCTTCTTTTCTTGTTCTGACTTTCCTCACATTTATTTGCTGGTTTCTGTTAGGATTCAGCTTGTGTTTCTCCCTCTGAAGTAAAACAGGCAAAGAGACATTGGTGGAAAAGCCACAGACTAGATGTCAGGCTCTGGGATTTCACGCAGTGTAGTCCTGTGAAGGCACCAAGTGATTTTGTTCAACGCAGAGGAGCCATCATCATAGAATGCTCCATAGCTGTCCTGGTCCCTAACTGTAGTATAAACTCCAGAAGATGAAGCAAATATGAAAGCATCTTTGTAGTGTGTGAGCTGCTAGTAAAGGAGTTAAAATTCTAACACGGGAAAGTGTAGGGAGAACCAGTCTTGTCCTGAGATTTGGTGTGTTTTCTAGATGTGTCCTTGTCTAGAGCCAAACACCGCTATGCAGGGCAGTGGTTAAAGACAGCACCTGGAAGTCAAGGGGGAAGGACCAAGAGATACTGACTGCTTGTAAAAGAATCTTAGCCAAATGAAAAAAAAAATAATAATGAGGATTATTTAATGAAATTACCTACTAAAAAAAAAAACAAGAACATGGGACTGGGCTGGATTGGTACCCTCTAAAATGGTATTGTAATGTAGGGATGAAAAGGGCACAAAATAAAGAAGGGTGAATAGTGTAATAATGGTGAATGGATGGAGGTGGGGAAAGAGGTATTTCAGAGCTAGAACTACAAATTGACAATCGGGCAGGGTAGAGCGCTGGACCTGAAGTCAGGAAGAACTGAGTTCAAATCCAGCCTCAGACTCTTACTAAATGTGTGACCCTGGGCAAGTCACTTAACCTCTACCTGTCTCGGTTTCTTCATCTATAAAGTGGGTATAATAATAGCAGCTACCTCTCAGTGCTGTTGAGAGGGTAAAATGAGATATTTGTAAACTGTCTGGCAAATTTTGTCATGAAAACTCAAAATATCAATTATAGCAATTCTTACAATGATCATTATAATCTTATAATTATAGCTAGTAAGAAGTGGAAATCTAAAAAGGGGTAGGTTCTTATGACAGATGGATGAAAGGTCAGCATATCATTACATCTCTATAATCTTTCAATAGACTGAAAGCAAAGGATAGGAACATGGAGGGTCTTTGGCAAGGTAAGAAGCTACTGCAGGACAGGAGAAGGTCGGAAGGTAGGTGGGAACCAGTAACAAAATGGGTCATTCCAGAGCAGGTATTAGGAAGAGAGACTTATGGATACAGGTAAAGAATCACTGGGCTCAGTTGAGACTATACATGTTCATAATGCCTCAGTGACCAGAAAGAAATGGAAATAATTCTAACGTTGTTCTAGCTAGCCTAACAATTCTCTATCAGTAAGCAGTGCAATACAGAGGAAAGGACATGGGCTTTGAAGTTAGAAAACCTTGGTTTGCATCCTAACCCTAACACTAACTACCTAGGTGATCTTGGAGAAGTGACTTCATTTCTCCAGATCTCAGTTTCCTTATGTGAAAATGAAGGTATAGGATTAGATGGCCTCTGAACTCCTTTATAGTTCGAAATCTATCAATCAATCAATAAGCATTTATTAAGTTTCAGGTACTGTTACAGGTACCAGACATACAAAAAATGAAAATAGTCCCTACTTGCAAGGAGTTTACATTAACAGAGAGAAGAACATATACAAGTACATACAGAATAAAATAAAAAATGAATAAATAACAAGTAATTCAAAATAAGTGAGCTTAGGAGGGAGTATAATAGCAATTGAGGGGACACCAGGAAAAGCTTCATTCAGAAGGAGGTGCTTAAGCTGCATTTTGAATGAAGAGAATAATTCTATGAGGTGGAGATGAGGCAGAATTACACTCCTGGAATGGGAGGCATCCAGAACAAAGGCACAGAAATGGCAGGTGCATTTACACCCGTAAGAAAGAGAAAGCAAGGTGTCTAGATCACAGCACAGATGAGGGAGAATAATGTCCAATAAAGTTGGAAAGATAGATTACAGTCAAGTTATCTAGGGCTTTAAAATCCAAATAGAGAAGTTTTTATTTGATTCTAGAGGCAATAGGGAGCATACTACAGTTTATTGAGTAGAGACGTGATATGATTGGATCTGTGCTTAAGGAAAATCATTTTGGCAGCAGTATATCAGATAGACTGGATTGGAGAGAGAATTGAAGCAAACCAAAAAACAATGAAGAGTCCATGCAGTAATCTAAGTGAAAGGTGATGAGTGCCTAAGCTAAGGCATTAGTTGTATGAGAAGAGAAGAGGGGATAGAAGAAACAGAAATGGCAAGCTCTGGCAACTGTCGATATGTGTGGGAAAGTCAGGTCAATGAGTAAGGATAATGTGAAGGCTACAAATCTAGGAAACTAACAGGGTGCTGGTGCCTACAAGAGAAATAGGGAAGTTTAGAAGAAGGGAGGGTTTGAGGAGAAAGATGAAAAGTTGTTTTCAAATGAGATATCTAATAGGAAATGATAATGCAGGAATGATGCTCAGGGGAGAGATGAGGGCTGTTTGTGTGTGTGTGTGTGTGTGTGTGTGTGTGTGTGTGTGTGTTAGTCATTTTCATAATTCCATGGGAGCTAATGAGGTTACCAAAAGAAAGAGTGTGGAAAGAAGAGAAAAGCAGGCCTATGACAGAACCTTGGGGAATACACATTGTTAGGGAGGATGAAATGAAATGAGAGGTTGTCAGAGGAGAGTGAAAAGGAGTGGTTGAACAAGTAGGACAAACACAAAAAGAGGAGAGTATTGTTATGAAAACCTAGAGAGGAGATAATATCCAGAAGGAGACGGTCTGGCCTTTGACCCAGCAAGACCAATACTAGGTCTGTTTCCCAAGATTACTAGGGAAAAAGGAAAAGAACCTATATGTTCTAAAATATTTATAGAAGCTCTCTTTATGGTAGCAAAGAACTGGGAATTGCAGGGATGCCTATCAATTGGAGAAGGTGGTCAACAGTTTCAAATATAGCACATAGATCTCAACTGAGGATGAGAACCGAGAAAAGATCATCAAATTTGCCAATTAATAGATTATTGATAATTTCAAACACTGTAATAATGAGGTGTGAAGTGAGATTGCAAAGGTTTTTGGAGTAAGAGGTGATGAAGTAGAGGTAAAATGTGTAAACAACTAAATCAAGGCCGAGAAAGCAGAAGGAAAGAGTGATTAAGATAGTAGCTTGAGGGGATGGTATGACCTAGTGAAGGGTGTGTGTGTGTGTGTACTTAGGCATGTTTGAAGGCAGCAGGAAAGAAAGTAGGAAATGGGAGAAAAGTTGAAAATAAGAAAGTGCAGAGAATGACTGAAGGAGCAATTTTCTGGAGAAGATCAAGGGGATGGAATTAAGCATACTAGTAGAGAGGGATTAGCTTTGGCAAAAAGGCTCACCTAATTATCAGAGACTGGGGAGGAGAGAGTAGTGGATGAAGTCAAAGGGGGTTTTGAGATGAAGAGAAGGGGGGAAGCAGGAACTTAAATGACCTCCGTTTTTTTTCCTGTAAAATAAAAGTTAAGGTCTTCTGCTGAAAAGGAGGAGATAGGATTACATACGTGCAGAAGGTATGAGAAAGGAAGAGACAGTTTGGAATAGCTTCTACAGGTAGTGAAAAGGGGAAGCAATTAGGAAGAAGTAAAAGAACTGCCTTGCTGCAGTGAGGGGCCATAAATCTATGATCCTATGTTTATGAAGACAATGTTCCCAAATGATCACTGCATAGGGGTGACATCACTTGCTTATGTGTATTTCAATTTCCATGTAAGCTAAAGGTGTGGTATCTGGCAAGTGAATGTATTTTCATATGAAAACCTGATGAAAGAAATCATCCAAAAACAATAATGAATTACATTGTATACAGTGGTAGAAAAGGTTGGTTGATGGATAGCAAAGTGCCATAGGAATGAGTCTTAGAAAAATGCAAATGCAAATAACAATAATGCTGCTGCTGCTGCTGCTGACAGTATTTATATAGTGCATACAATATGGCACCCTATATTTGCCAGGTACTATATAAATATTATCTCATTTTAATTTCACAATAACCCTGGGAAGTAGGTGCTACTATTATACTCATTTTACGGTTGAGGAAACTGAGGCTAAGGGAGTTTAAGTGACTTGTCTAAACTGACACAGCTGCTAAGTTTCTGAGTCCAGATTTAAATTAAGGTCTTCTTGACCCTAAGCCTAGTGCTCAATCTACTGTGCCCCCTGGTTGCCTAGACAGAATTTAGAAATTCAGAAAAAGTACAGCTCATACAACAAAACTAAGAAAAATAAAGAAATATTTAAAATATAGTTATGTATAAAGAGGCTGGACAGTCTGAATAACCACCAATTTTGTGGTCAACTCGGATCAATTTGATCTTAAAATCCAGGATGCATACAAGGACCTTCTACCACATAAAAAAGAATATTCATCTTCTTCCATTAAGGTTTCTGGAGAACATTACCTGAAATAAGATGTTTCACTTAGAATAAAAAGTTCAGATTCATAATAATAATTTCATTTTTGCATGAGTAGATTAGAAATGAAATTAAATGATAAATTAACCCAATGATTGCCAGTGAGAAAAATAAATGCTTCTGAGCAGTTACCCTCTCATGATGTATTTTAATATCTGTTTTGCAGAAAACTATATGGTCATTAAAATTCTCAAGCTGAAGGTAAAATTAACTAGAAAGTCTTGTACTTTAAAAAAATTGTTTTCACATGCAACTGGGAAATAAGGTATACACGCAATGGGGTATAGAAATCTATCCTGCCCTACAGGAAAATTGAAGGGGAAAGGGATAAGATAAGGGGGGAGAAATAGAAGGGAAGGCAAATTAGGGAAAGAGGTATTCAGAATGTATGCCATCTAGGGGTGGGGGAAGGGATAAGATGGGGAGAAAATTTGGAGCTCAAAATCTTGTGGAAGTGAATGTTAAAAACTATAAATAAATTAATTAATAGAAAGTCTTGTACTCCACTGATTGCAGAGGAGCAAAATTTAACTTAAGACTTCATATCATGTTAGTAATAATCAAAATTTTGGGAGGAGAATGGTATTGGGACAGGGAAGTTAATAAAACTATAATAAACATAAACCCA